ACTCAAAAAAAAAAAAAAAATACTATAAGAAAAGGATCGGGAGTACCTCATCAGCAAGGGTACCTGCGTGATGAAGATTTGTATATCTAACCCTGAACTGTACCTTGCATCTTTAAAATAAAGGAAAAAATAATAATAAAACTTAGTATCAGGCAAGGACTACTAGTGTATTACTAGCGCTGACCACTTCAGACCTCAGTAAGTATGTGCCAAATGACTTAAAGGTCTTCATTTTGTTTTATCGTAATTCCTATTCAAAGTTATTCACTCACTTGAAGTTTTGCACATCTCTATATAAGAGAAAGAATTCTCAAAAAAAGTTTTTTTTAAAGACCAGAGAAGTTGTGTGACTTGTCTGAAATTACTCAACAACTTTCAGATCACTGGGTCTTCATATTTGGAGGAGGGGGACCACTTGAGGGACCTAACAGAACCCTCAAAGAATGCTGCCCACCTTTGCCTGAGTTTTACAATCCTTGGAAGCATCAAAACTGGGACCAGGTGGAAGCACTACAGTGAGGATCTCTATTTCTTTCTTTCTTTTTTTTTTTTTTCAGTTGGAGTCTCACTCTGGCGCCCAAACTGGAGTGCAGTGGACGTTCCTGGCCACCGCAGCCTCGACCTGCTGGGCTCTGGCGATCCTTCCGTCTCAGCCTTCCGAGAAGCCGGAATTACAGGCATGCGCTACCATGCCCGGCTGATTTTTTGATTTATTGTAGAGATGAGGTGTCACCAAGTTGCCCAGGCGGGTCTCGAACCCGAGGGCTCAGGCAATCCACTCACCTCAGCCTCCCAAAGCGCGGGATTACAGACTGAGCCACCGAGCCCGGCTACTCTATTTCAATCTAAGGAGAAAAAGCTCATATTTTTCAACAACTAAGTAGAGCAAAAACTGTTGGTAATAGATTACCATTTCCAGTTGGGCTTATAGCCACCCAGACTACAGATTACATTTCCCAGTCTTTTTTGCAGCTAGAATCAAACTATGTGATTAAGCACAAGTCAATGGAAACATGCAGAAGTGATGTATTCAACTTTGAGATTGTGTCCTTAAAAGGAACAATACACTTCCACTGTCCTAGCTGGAATGTGTACGTGGTGGTGACCATCTTGAGTCCTGAGAATAAAGCAAACACCTTAGGGACAGCAGAGTGACAAGAGGAAAGGCACCCAATAAATATGGGATGGGTTGAGGCAAAAAACAAACAACAACCACCACCACAACAAAAAAACCCCTTAGTATCATAAAAGAGGAAACCATGTGGCTAGGTATGACGAGTGGCTTCTAGAACCTTCTCTGCCAGTTGCCTACAAAACGAGACCCAAGGCCTTGTTTGCTTCCACCGTCCCCCTCTTCGCCTCACCACCTTTATTTCTGGAATCTGCCACTCCATTTCTACCTCCAGGATCAGCGCCTTCATTTAGGCCCTCACCCCCCCCTTGCCTAGGTTGTTGCAATGACTTCCTTACCGATCCTAGCTAGCTTCTCCCCACTCTAATCTTCACTTGGGTGCTCCAACTTCCAAAACTAAAATTAATTCTAAAACTAAAATTTCCAAAATCAATTTGGTTAATATCACTACTGAGCATCACAGAAACTTTAAGCCTATGGGACAAGGTCTAAGCTCTAAGCTCAAGGCTTCGCTGTCTTGGTCCAGCTTAGCTTTAAGGCTCATCTTCCACCTGCCCAGGTACCCGGACACTTTAGGCCACCCTCTGAAAATACCACCCTCTGCAATATGTAACTCCCTTCACTCGGCATGCTCTTCTCCTACTTACTCAACTTGGCAGTCTCCTTTCCCATTCCGCAAACCCAGGTCCAATATCACCTCCTCTGTGACTCGCCCTCCTCAGTCACTTGAATCCTAGATAACCACTTTTCTTTAGACGTATTATAGTGGGATATGATTATTTGTATTTGTATCCTATCCCCACTTCCAGTAACAAAGACAAGTCTCACTAGAGTGGATTTCTCAAAGACTAGGATTAAGTCTTATTTATTTTGGATTTTTTTTTGAGTTGGAGTCTCACCCTTGTGGCCCAGGCTGGAGTACAGTGGCACACTCATGGCCACCACAGCCTCGACCTGCTAGGCTCAGGCGATCCTTCCGCTTCAGCCTTCCAAACAGCTGGAATTATAGGTGTGCACCACCACACCCAGCTAATTTTTCTTATTTAATGTAGAAACGAAGTCTCACCATATTGCCCTGGCTGGTCTCAAACTCATGGGCTCAGGCAATCACCTCAGCTCCGCCTCCCAAAGCGCTGGGATCACAGGCTGTAGTTCTAGCTACTTGGAAGGCTGAGGCGGAAGGAGCGCCAGGGCCCAGCAGGTCGAGGTTATGGTGGCCGTGAGTGTGCCACTGCACTCCACCCTGGGCAATGGAGTGAGACTCCAACTCAAAAAAATAAATAAAATAAAATAAGAACTGATCGGCACACTTTGGAGATTGTAAAATGTATGAGGAAAGTTGTTTTTTTTTGTTTAGAAAATGACCTTGATGGTCTCTCTGAGTGAGAAAGATAAAAAACTTTCCCCTTCCATCCTTCAGAAACAACAAAGACAAAAGGCGCTTTGAATTGCTCTGCTTAAGAGGAATTTAGAGTTCAGCAAGCGTGGAAAGAGGGGGTGAATAGCGGGACAGGGACGTACTGTTGGGGACATGGAGAGCCTGGGGACCAGTGACGCTTAGAACAGCAAGAACAGCCAGTGAGGTATTCCCAGAGACAGGGGTGACTGAGCCTGATGAGTTCAGACACGTCTATTTCTAAATATCAGAGTTTTTGTTTGTTTTTTAGCATGTGCACAGGTACAAATAACCTCGCCTTGGTACCTCAACCTTCAAAAATATGCCACGAACATCATCTTCTAGATGTGCTTAGGGAAAAAGACGGAAAACATTCTAAGTTCAAGTCATTTTGAGGTGAAGAGGAGAAAACAGCTGCAGACAGTGAAATCTGGACGGAGTAATATCCAGCAGAAACAGATAACTTAAAGAAGTGACCTCAGTCAGGCACGGTGGCTCAGCCAGTAATCCTGGCACTTTGGGAGGCTGAGGCAAGAGGATTACCTAAGCCCAGGGGTTCGAGACCAGCCTGGGCAACTTGGCAAGACCTCATCTCTACAATAAATCACTAGATGGACGTGTTGGCGTGCGTCTGTAGTTCCAGCTATTTGGAAGGCTGAGGCGGAAGGATCGCCTGAGCCCAGCAGGTCGAGGCTGTGGTGGCTGTGAGCGTGCCAATGCTCTTGTGCCTGGGCGACAAGAGTGAGACTCCAACTCAAAAAAAAAAAAGAAGAAGTGACCTCGAGGCTGTAGATGCCTGGGAGTTCACAGAAACCTTGGGAGTGCCCTGCATGGCCCAATGACCTGGGATGGAGGCTCAAGTCCTTTCAATTCTCAAACGTGGAGAACTGATCAAGACTCAGGTGGTAAATATCTCAGGTGCACATTTCTGAGCCTGAAATCAATTTCCATTCTTTGCCATTGTAATTTTTTTTTTTTTTTTTGAGTTGGAGTCTCACTCTGTTGCCCAGGCTGGAGTTCCGTTGCACACTCACGGCCACCCCAGCATTGACCCATTGAGCTCTGGTGAGCCTTTTGCCTCAGCCTTCCAAGTACCACTCCCAGATAATTTTTGATGTATTATAGATATGAGGTCTTGTCAAGTTACCCAGGCTGGTCTCGAACCCACAGGCTCAGGCCATCCACACGCCTCAGCCTACCAAAGTGCTAGGATGACAGGCTGAACCACACCGGGCCTGCCCTTGTCATTCTAAGCATTTAAACGTCACCCCTAATTAAGCTATACTCTTTTTGCAGTCAGTTCATTCATTCTCATACCTTTCTTGCCAGTGACAGCAACATCTCATCAGAGAACATTTTGAAGTCTGTGTACTTCCCTAAAGATCTCCGGTAAATGTGGTTACTGAGAATCGTGTAATGAACAACGGCGCCCCTCTCGTCCCCAAACCTTTTGGGGACTTCGTTCAGCATCTGCTCGAGATTGATGCTGGGAAACGAAGCAAAATCTTTCTCAATCTGTGGTTCACTGGTTGGACAAGAAAGAGTTTTCTGCCAGGCCCAAGGATCCTCTTCTGGACACTCACAGTACTCATGGTACACTGGTCCTGAGGAAAGCAAAACACACACAGTGCCACGCTGTATTAACAAGCACCACACAGGGAGTTACTTTGGCCCCTGCTTCTTGGTAAGTTACCAGATTTCCCAGAGATAATCTGCCCTTGTCAAATCAGTGGTTGCATGTAATGGTATAAGAGTCCTCACTTGTAATTTCTGCCCCCTCTCTGCACCCCGGATAACCTGATATAGCATCTGCCTTCTCCCAGTCTAACCTAACTCAGTCAATGAGCTGAGAAATTCACTTCTAGTGAGGTGTGAATAGCTGCCAAACATAAACAACTTACCCTTTAACAAGGAAGAAGAATGTTTTTCGTTTGCAGGTATTATAATGTAGTAGGGGTAGTGATTTTTTTAAACACAAGTTGGGGTCTCTTCTGAGCCCCTAAATCACCTCTATCAGCACATCTCAAAGAGGAAATGTGTAAGCCAGGGGTGTCTGGCAGTGTAACTTTAAGTGGCTGACTATAAGCATAGAACTTCTCTGAGGACCCATTTAAAAAAGAATTCATGCAGGGTTTTTTTGTTTGTTTGTTTGTTTGTTTTTGAGTTGGAGTCTCACTCCTTTGCCCAGGCTGGAGTGCAGTGGCATGCACGCTTACGGCCACCCCAGCATCGACCTCCTGGGCTCCAGCGATCTTTGCGCCTCAACCTTCCGAGTAGCTGGAACTATAGATGCGTGCTACCACGCCCAGCTGTAATTTTTGATTTATTGTAGAGACGAGGTCTCGCCAAGTTGCCCGGGTTGGTCTCGAACCCACAGGCTTAGGCATTCCACTCGCTTCAGCCTCCCAAAGTGCTGGGATTGCAGGATGGGCCACGGAGCCCGGCCTCATGCAAGTTTTGTATCTTGTTTCAAGATATAGCTATATGTATTTTAATATAAAACATGATTTTTAAAATGATTTAATTTTCTTGAGGATTTTACTTTAGGCCAAGACAAGCGATAGGGACTGATTTACCCTTCCATGTGAAATAACCAAACAAAATATAGGAAACAATCGTTGTTAAGACACTGGATATTGGGCAATGAAGGAGAATGAGCTTGAGAGATGGGAAACAAACAAGATAAGCCCTATAGATCCTACAGCTTGCTACTTAAGGCCGATTCCAGGTTGTACTGCAGGGAGGTAAAGCCAGGCAACCTCACTGAGCTGAGAAGACAGAGCTGAGTGTCTCGCTGACAGGGAGACTGAGGCAGCTAGAATGTGTGGGACACATATTCTCTACCCACAGAGAACTCCCAAGATCTGCAGAAGGCCCCCTTCTGGTATTAAGCAGAGCACGTGATTAGGGCATATGTGGGAGGAAATTCCCCAAGGCTGCAGAAGACCCATCCAAAATGACTGGAAGGAAGAAGGTACCCACCAGCTGGCACCAGCCGATTCGTGGGGTTTGGGTGGACTTTGTGGAAGGGTACTGTCTCAGGAATGGGGGGTAATTAGGACTACACACGGCCCTAGTTCCACATAACAAACTGTAAAAGCAAAACCTGAAAAGATTAAACTATTTCCAAGTAACTCAACTGCATCTCAGAAAAAAGTTCAAGAAGACCAAAAAAAAAAAGCATTGCAGGGTGAACAATACACTGAACGAGATTAATGACAAATTGCACATTGAAGGAGAAAACATAAGTGAACTTAAAGACAGCAATAGAAACTATACAAAATGAAACAGAGAAAAAAGAATTTGAAAAATAAAAAGAGGAATTATACTCCAGTAAAGTTGTTTTCCCAAAAAAAAGAAAAATAAAAAGAGTATCTATGAACCGTGGATAATTTGAAGCCTAATAAATGGGCATTTAGTATCTTGGGGTGGAACAGAAAAAATATTTGAAGAAATGATGGCCAAAATTTTTTCTAAATTTGATGGAAACTAAATTTTTCTAAATTTGACAAAAAAATCCAAGAAGCTCCACAAACACAAGAAACATGAAGAAAACTGTACCAAGGCACATAACAATCAACTCAAAACCACTAATAAAAGGAAAACCTTTTACGTGGTACAGAGGAACAAAGATAAGGATAATGGTAGATTTATTGTTAGAAACAATGCAAATGGGAAGACAGGGGAATAGCATCTTCAAAGTACTAAAAGAAACATCCCATCAACTCCTAATTCTATAACTAGTGAAACTGTCTTTTAAAAATAAAGGCAGGCCAGCCACCGTGGCTCACGCCTGTAATCCCAGCATATTGGGAGGAAGAAGCCAGAGAATTGCCTGAGTCCAGGGCTTTGAGACCAGTCTGGGAAACTTGGCGAGGCCTCGCCTCTACAATAAATAAAAAAATCTGCTGGACCTGGCAGTGCATGCCTGCAGTTCCAGTACTTGGAAGGCTAATCGTGCCTCTCTGCACTTCAACCTGGGCAGCAGAGTGAGACTCCGACTCAAAACAAAACAAAACAAAAAAAAAGGTAAAAGAAAGTCTTTTTCAGACGTTCAAAAGCTGAAAGAATTCATTACCAGCATTCTCGCGCTAAAAGCGATGTTAATGGAAAGAAAGCCTTAGAAGGCAAATGCTACTAGATGGAAATATGGATCTATTTACACAAAGGAAAGAAGAGTAGTGGAAATGGCACTACAGTAAATGCACAATATTTTTTTAATCATTTAATTCTCTTTAAATTATTTTTCTTAGGCTGGGCGCAGTGGCTCAGCCTGTAATCCCAGCACTTTGGGAGGCCAAGGTGAGAGGATTGCTTGAGCCCGGGGTTTCAAGAAAGCCCAGCCCAGGAAACTTGGCAAGACCTCGTCTCTACAATAAATAAAAAAAGCAAGCTGGGTGTGGTAGTGTGAGCCTGTAATTCTGGCTACTAGGAAGGCTGAGGCGGAAGGATTGCCTGATCCCAGCAGGTCGAGGCTGTGGCGGCTGGGAGTGTGCCACTGCACTCCAGCCTGCACGACAGAGTGAGACTCCAACTTCAAAAAAAAATTATTTAATTTTCTTTTCCTAAAAATTTCAGGTTAAAGTGAGCTCCAGGGGTGTGTATACAATGTTATTTGACTTCAAGGCCATCATAGCCCATTCCAAAAGGCAGCTAAGTGAAGTTCCCAGTTGACCCACAGAAGAGGCACTGGTTTATTCTAATTGTCTCTTTGTTGATAAGAAAGGGTACCAGTTGTCTGGAGTCCTAAACTTAGAAACACAGAAGGCTGGCTGTGGAGTGCAGAAACATCACTTACCTTTCAAGATATAGGGAGACTGAGCCACATGTTCATTCCCATAAAGAACTTCTATCTTAAGCCCTTCCTGGGCAGTTTCATACATCCTATATCTTATCAAAAATGTGCCATCATTTCTGTCCAAAGGTTTAGAGACATGAATCCGGACTAACTCTTTAGGTGATAGAGATTTGACTACTACTTTGAATGATGTTTGACCTAAAAAATAAATAAATAAATAAATAAATAACTCTACAATGATTATTGTCTTAACCATTATTGAATAGGTCTCTCTCTCCCCCTCCATGTATATATGTCTATAACATATGTTATACATATTCACACACACACACACACATACACACACACAACTTGTTCTTATAGCTTTGATGGTAAGCAAAATCATTTCAGTTTGGAAGATTCTCGAGGCCAGGAACTATATCTGGTTCCATGTATTCAAACCAAGGATCAGACTCAAATTTAAATCATTAGTCAACATTGAATAATTTTTCAAAAGCAAAGAAGAAATTAACTTTTTGCTTGTTTGATCTTTTCTCCTCTGAGCAGGATTAAAGTCCAGGTAGTTACAAATCCAGGAACTCGAAGGATGACAGACCTCTACAGTAATCCAACTTTCTCCCTGCAAAATACACACATGCTTTCTTTGTAGACCGCTTCGGTATGTAATAACCCTCATTTCTGAGAAAAGTTTCCCCTTTTTTAAACTTAAATTTTAAGTGATACTTCTAAGCCCATTTCCTTAGGTAGAAAGAGATAACAGCTAGTTAGTGGGCTGTGCAGAAGTATCCATGCATACGCACAACACATGCATATTTGTAAATACCAGAGATTACTTCTCTGTTTCTTCAGCTTGAAATGAAACAATTATACCATAATGATCCATTTCAACTACAAAATTCTGTGTTTTCTGTTCTACACAAATAATATCTACTTAACAAACTTTCATTTTCCTACTAGCTGACTCATTTAGGCTTTGAAACAAGACTGCTGTGGTTATTGTTCTGAGTACATGAATAAACTTTAGAACCTCTTTCTTCTGTGTGCAGTGGATATAACATTTAGATTACCACTTCAAAGGGAAATGTTTAAAAAGTGGTAGAGCCTCTGAAATCCACAGGCCTAGCAAAATGTAAGTTGTGACCAAAGTTGCCTTCATCTCATATCTATCATATTTTCCAATTAAGCATATTTAACATATAGATTTTTAAATTACTAAAAAGGTTTGTGTAATTCTTAGCTTCTAAATCTAGTAGGTGTAAGATTCTACTTTCTTTTAATCTTCAAGGGTTTGTTTTATTTTTTCTTGTGAGTTAAGGAAATGTCTTGTAGTCTCTTCAGTTTAGTAATCGGTAGTATACGACATCTTGTTGCTAAATCATTAAGAAAGAGTACTAAACACATCTATTTTAAAGGATCCTTGAAACAAGTGTGATAAAATCATGAAAGAAATCTGCTAACGTAAATGAAATGTATTAGAGAAACACAGCGTTTCCACTATCCAAAAGGAAATCATTTAACATGTTAATAGAAATGTTGGCCAATTACCTGAAATACATAAATAAAACATACACATTGCTTTGTGTTATTTCTCACTTGGTTTTAGAAAGACAACATGGCACAGCCGACTGAAAATCAGGAGACCACAGTGTGGGAATCAGAAGGCCATTTCCATCGCTACCTCCGGGAACTGGAAACGTACAAAAATGTTTTCTTGTCTCCTGAGCAAACAGTCCCATTCTTTGTACGTTTATTATTTAAAAAACAAAACAAAACAGATATAAGGCAAGCAAGTTACTTGTGATTTTACTAGAAAGAGCTAGATTTACAGAAAAAAAAAGTACTAGCTCCAAAATGCTTCATTACTTGTAAAACGAAAGCATTGAACTAGATCACTATGGTTGCTTCTAGTTATAACAATTTTTTGTTACTGAAATAGCATTAAAAGTTATGTTTGACTCACTTGCTCACTCATTCTCTCTCTCTCTCTCTCTTTTTCTTTTTGAGACAGAGTCTCACTTAGTTGCCCAGGCTGGGGTGCAGTGGGAGAATCATAGCTCACTGCAGCCTTGAATTCCTGGGCTCGAGGGATCCTCTCACTTCAGCTTCCCAAGTAGCTGGGACTACAGGCATGCAACTCCACGACTGGTTAAATTTTTTAAAAATTTTTTGTAGAGATGAGGTTTCGCTATGTTGCCCAGGCTGGTCTTCAATTCCTGGGCTCCAGCAAGCCTCCAGCCTCGGCCTCCCAAAGTGCTGGGATTACAGGCCTGAGCCACCACGACCGGCCGGCCCTTTTATTTAGTTCTAGAATCATCTGCGTGGCATTCAAGGTCTTGGAAGACCTCTGGCTACAATCTTACCGACCTTTTCTGCTCAGTCTCATTAAATCACAGTACTTGTCTTCCCAAATACCAAACTCCCTTATGCCTCTGTGCTTTTGCACAGGCCAGAGCCTCCCCCCCCTACCTTCCCAGCCAACCTTCAAATCTCTGCTCTTGAAACCTCCCTCGACACTGCACTCTGTGCAAACTTTCACGGTGATCATTATCGGGTACGGTGATATGTTATTTGTGCATCTGTTTTACCAATACACCCCAAGCAAGTCATGCCTTCTCATCCAAATATCCCCAGCAGAATTATCCGACACATAGAGGCAGACAGCAATGAAAGAGTTGTTGAAGAAATACAATTTAAAAAAAACCAAAAAACACTACATCTAAAAGCGGATTACGTTTGGCTCCCAAATTCTTTTTTTTTTTTTTGAGTTGGAGTCTCGCTCTGTCGC